TGCACCACTGACGGGAACGAAAGTGATTTGCTCTAGTGTCTCTGACTGATTTACTGCAAAATCACTCTGACACTGTTAAATGTTCAGACTTGTTCTCAAACTGGTAGGTCTGGGAACTTATTTTTCCTCTCACTTTCTAAGCTTCTTATGATTTTGGACTGCTAAAAGGTGGGTTAAAGAGACACTGAAGTATAAAGGACACACATTTCTGCCAGTGATGCAAGAAAATGGAGAAAGACAGATACAGCCATGAAGCGTTTATTACGATCCTGAGCAGAAAGTACCAAAGAAAAGATCTGTTGGCATTAGGAAGGCACCTTGGTATCACAGGAAGTCCATTCTGCATAACAATTGTTCAAGCAACCAAGGTTTAGGCTGAAGGTAGGCACTGGCCGACGTGACTACTGCACTGCCCTTCTGCATTTCTTTTCATACCCATCTTATGTCCATATTTTCACCCCCAAGTATTTCTCTCTGTGCCCATCTGAGCAGAACAGAGGAAGAATCTACCTGTACTAAGAAGGATGAGATAGATACAGAGGAGCCAGGTAGGGAGAAGACTGGGTGCCCAGGGATAGCCTAGCAGAGGATGTTGAATAATGCATTGAAATTAACTTTACTAGGGCCTCGTAGAGTTTTAGAGAGGACAGGGTTACTCATAGTTTGGGGGATGAACATCTTTAAATAAATTCCTAAACTTAACCAGAAAAGCTGAGGTATATTTTTGATGTTCAAAATTAAAATTGAAGTTGAATGCCGAATATATTCCTTTTTTTTTTTTTTTTTGAGATAGAATTTCACTATGTCACCCTTAGTAGAGGGCTGTGGCATCACAGCTCACAGCAACCTCACACTCTTGGGCTTAAGTGAGTCTCTTGCCTCAGCCTCCCAAGTAGCTGGGACTACAGGCGCCCACCACAGTGCCTGGCTATTTTTTGTTGCACTTGTCAAGGTTGTTTAGCAGGCCCGGGCCGGGTTCAAACCTGCCAGCCGCAGTGTATGTGACAACGCTGTAACCACTGTGCTATGGGCACTGAGCCAAATGCTGAATATATTCTGCTTTTGAGTCTACCAATGTGTCACTAGGAAAATGTGTATAACCTCATTCCAAAATAAGCCTAAATGTGTGACCTTTTATAAATGTAAGATACAGCCAAGGGATTCATCTTCCTTGGAACCTTTCCTGTTCATACTTAAGGATCAGTCAAAATTTCTTTAGACAGAAAGAGAAATAATTTAATATGAATAAAAGAGAAAAGAAGGAGGAAGGAGGAAGATTAGAAAATAGTATAAAGTACAGGTAATCTAGAATAGATTTATGAGTAGAAAACTTTATGGAAATTAATAAGATGATATTTATTAAATGAAAATTGAAGTCTTTAGTACAGCTGATGTCATGAGATAAAAAGATAATTTTTAGTCCTTGACCTCAAACAGATTAAAGCAAAAGATATAAAACAAACATATTCCAAACAGAAGGCAGGACTCAATTCTGTCATACTAAGTCTGCATGAAATAGGAGAAAGGAGGGGTTAATACAGGTGACCAAGATTCTCCATTTGTACAATAGTAAGTTATAATAGAGTTTACATTGTATTAATAATTATTACTTAAAACTTACAAAACATTTAACCAAGTTCTTGACAGAGTAAGCACTTATTAATATTGCCTATCAATTCATTAAAATTTATAAAAAGTATAAAGATTCTTGAGAAATGTTACAAAGCCTATTCAAGAAAATTTTACATAAAAATACAAATTATAGTAAGTATGGTATATTATTGGTTGCCAAATTATCGATGTGATTAAACAACATGATTTTTAAAGTTATAAGTAAACTGACCATTTTTGTTGCTAGTGATAAAAGTGTATAGACTCCTGGGACAGGCAGTACGGGAATACAAAGTGAGAGTCATAAAAACATGGTCCTATAATGTGATCAAGTAGTCCAAGGTTAGCACTGAGCTCTGAATAATAATTGATAAGCAGTAGGAGGGGTCACTGCAATTATACATCTTAGTATACAACTGAACTCAACTTAAAAATCAACTTTAAAAGGACAGTAGAAATGATTTGGTATATTATACACCATCACCATGGAAGGATAGCATATGTTATTATCTTGTTGATTATACATACAATATTCAATATGTGAAGTATTTACAATAAAAACAAATGAACAAAAAACACCACAAACTTGTAGGAGATATTTCCAACATCAAAATTTGTCAAAATATTATCACAAAATATTAGGAGTTCCCTCAATTTATAAAAAAAAAAAGGAAAAAACTCAATGGAAAATAATCAAAGTTTATAAATAGGCAATTCTTAGAATGCAGAATCTGAATGACTGTAAATAGACAATGTTGTTCTGCTGTAATACCAGTAGCAGAATACAAACAAAAGTGATATTGAGGCAACATCCTATTGCCACCAATTTAGTAAAGTAAGAGAGTAAGATAATGCCGTATGCTGATGAGATTGTGGGAAATGGGATCCCTTCCGCAGTGCAGAGCAGTTATGTGAACAGGGGCACTCATTTGGGGGAAAGTCTGGCAGTGGCATTCAGTGGATTTACAAATGTGCATAACTTAACTCCGAGCAATCCTGTGCTCCTCGGTATATTACCCTGAGAATTCCTAACAGGTTAAAAGGACACCTATGTGTGATTCATTGAAATGTTGTTTTGGATGGAATGACCGAGAGGAAGTTTAGGTGTTTGTACCTGAGGGATTGGGTAAGTAAAATTTAGTATATAGTCACATGTCACTTAACGACATTCAGAGAAATGTGTCTAAGCTTATGTACTTTTATCATTGTATGAACACCATTGAATGTCCTTATACAAACTGTGCTATTAGCCTACTGCTCCTGGGCTATCAACCTGTACAGTCTGAATATCATAGATGATGTAACACAGTGGTAAGCCTGTTTAGATCTGTATCCAAACATAGAAAAGGAACAGTAAAAATCAACATTAGCATCTTATGGGATCACCATCATATATGCAGCTCATCATTAACCACAATGTCTTTGCACAGGGTGCAAAGGGAAGTAATTGGAAGAAATGACCTAGTTTCGAACACATTCAGGTACTGTATGACAATGCCTCAGTCAAACACAGACCACATATAGATGTGGGTCCTATAAGATCACAATGGAGCTGAAAAATTCCTGTCACCTAGTGACATCTTGTTCATTGTAACATCATTGTACAGCGTTTTGCCTTTTCCATGTTTAGATATGTTAGGTACACACACCCACAAATTATGTGACAATTGTCTACAGTGCTCAGTGCAGTAACATTGTACATGTGTAACCTGGGAGCGACAGGCTGTATCATATAATGTAGCTGTGTAGTGGGCCACACCATGTAGGTTTGTGTAAATATATTCTATGAAGTTTGCACAATGACAAATCACCTAAGGACTCATTTCTCCCATTGTTGAGAAACACGATTCTGTCTAGCACCATAGACAGATATCCAAACACCAACATTGAATGAAAGTAGTAAGGACCATAATACAGTTTACCACACAAAAGTGCTTATGCAATACAACACATCCACAAACACACAACTACACACTACTTTTAATGTGACAAAGATATTCAAATACATACATACGTATATGAAAGTGGATTTCATGAACACACATTAAATGCATTAAAATGGAGGTCTACAGGGGATTGAAGTGAGGATTAGAAACAGAAAATAAACGAAAACCAATTAAACATCATTCCCAGAGTAATGATAACACAAGGCCACAAACTCAATTCTGTATACCTAGTGTGAAAAAAAAAAAAGGAAAAAACTAAAATTTGTATAACTTTAAGTAAAAAAACCTTGAAGAATGCATAATAGTTCACAAATAGATTGAAATAATAAAACTGCTACAAATGTTTATATGAAATTAAACTGCAGCACACAAATTATATACCAACATATTGAAGTCAAAGCAAATAAAACAAGTACAGAATGATCAAAACTACCAAGAATTGTATTCATGTGAGTGGGTTAGGGGAAGGGCCCCGTTCTGGTCCTTTGCTTCCTCTTGGTCCCGCCTTCTCGGAAATGTTACAAAGTTTGCTTATGGATGGGCAAGGACACTTTACATAACCACGAGAGTAGGGCCTCATCTTGGTTCCTTGTAATATCCCCCTGTCTTCTTTGCATGAGGCTGGAGAGTAGGACTGACCAATGATGTAACCTCCTTTCTCCCATCAAGCCTCAGTGAAGGGTTGACGTGGGAAATGAGATTAAACCATTAGGATTAAAACCATGAGGATTTTTTTTTAATCCATGCTGTTGGCAAGGTAAGAAAGGGTCCTGATTTTCTTATCTAAAAATGTAGTTCAACTACTTCATCCTCTGAAAAACTACCCCCCTAATTTACTATAAGGCTTTTTTTTTTTTAAGATGGAGTTCTGCTCTGCTGCCCAGGCTGATGCCGAAATCAAACTAGGCTCAAGAGATTTTCTGATTTAGCCTCCAGAGTAGCTTGGACTACAGGTATACACCACCACCACTGGCTAATTTTTCTTTTTTTGTAGATACAAGGTCTCACTCTTGTTCAGGCTGCTCTCAAACTCCTGAGCTCAAGGAATCCTTCTGCCTTGAATCCTTAAGGACAAGCATGAGACACTAACACTCTCCAGGAAATTTTTATGTAATGCAAATAAGTCCTTTCATTCCAAAATCTGTTAATCCCAGAAATCAAGATCCGTTGCCTTATTTCCTTTATTTATTTATTTTTTTTTAAAGATCTCATACTTTAGGAGAATAAGAAGCATTTCATATCTGTATGTTCTGTGTAATGATATGTACTGGTGTGCCTTTCTTTGAAAACTACAATTATATTAAAAATGTTGATCATAGTAGTAGCAGAAGGGACCAGTCTGTTACCATAGGGCCTTGCTTCCCAAACAATAGCAGTGATACAAGTTAAGGATATAGGAACTAGCATAGTTATATAAAAGTGGGTTAAAGAACTTTTTATTACCTTAGTTTCTTTCCTCCATCTGCAATTTTAGCTTTTTGAAGATAACCTTCTTTTTCAACCATCTGCAAGAAGAATGCATATGTTAAAACTGTGACAACTCATATGCATTGTTAGTTTGAATGAATCTATGCTTTTCAAGAATCATTGCAGTGATAGAAGTTTCCTGTCACAGAACCTCATTAATAATGCACAGATAGCTTATGGGAAGTGCCTGCAGGATCATAATCATTACAAGCCATTGAAGAGCCAAAGACACATTGTGAAGAAGAATGCGAAGGATTTGTTGGACAGCAATACACCTTTACTCACTTTTTTTCTGGGCATTGAAGGGTCTAGGTTAAAAAATAGATTGAAAATGGTAACACAAAGACAAATGTAACGTCTTCCTTAATTTTACTTATTGTTCTTAGAGAAGTTCTTCCTTTTTAACATCTCCATATATCTGCTGAGGTTGAGTATATGGGTGGGAGGCAAATTCAATGGGACCATATAACTTGGCCAGTTGAGTCATGGAAGGGCATTTAAAACAGCAATGATTCAAGTGTCCTGATCAGTTTTCAAGACACTGTTGTAGCACTATCTCATTGCCTTCTTCCATGATGTGGGATTATTTTTTTCCTAGTTGCATGTAATATACTGGCTTTCATTGCTAATACAACTGCAACTTTCTTTCTTTATTTATTTCTTTTTTCTCCTTTTTTTTTTTTTTTTTTTTTTT